ACCAAAGGGGGACATATGCCACCAGTTTGTAATTGTGAAGATTGTCCAGGTTCATTGACAGGTTCTTCTGGCATTCTTGCTGCCTTCCTAAGGAGCTTGGGGTGAAGCATTGACTATTTCCAGGATCCAGATAGCAATGCCTTCCTTGAGAGCTACAAGGTGTAAGAATTGAGCAGTCAGGAGTTTGGCAGGACTGTCCAAGCACCTTGTTCACATCTATTGCTAGAGTATATATTTGCTGCTGCTGAGATTTACAAGTTACTGCTTGTATAATAAACTGCTTGTGTATGAAACAGTATATAAGACCAATATGAAGATCATTCCTACATCTGCATAAGCCACCTCCAGTGCAACCTTGAATTAATGTTTCATTAATTAAAGAAGGAGAGAGGATGTCCTCACTGGGTCATGATACACCATCACCACCACCACATTGCATTTATAGTCTACCTTTCTTCCTCTTAGAAGGAACCGAAGGTAACTTCTTTTCCTCTCCATGTTAGGGTTCTCCTCACAGCAACAATATTAAGGGCTTAGGCTGAGAGGCAGTGACTGGGCCAAAGTCACTTACTGAGCTTTATGGCTGAGTAGGAACGAAAAACCAGATCTCTTGAGTCTCCAGTCAAACACTCTAACCATCTCACCACACCACCACAAACATGACTAGGGGGCTAATTTTTTCTTGGTAGGTTACACCTTGTGCAGGCCTGGAATAGTTGTACTGACCTATAAATTATCTGGGCCATATTCTCTTTGGGCCAGGAAGCACATCTCAATATTCTTTAAAGAGAAACTTTTGCATTTTGTCCGTGCCAGTCCATCAAACAAACTATGGATCCTTGTACTATAGGAAGTTAAACAATGAATAATTCTGGGATTTCCCCACTGGATTATACAAGACATGATCCATACACGGAAAAAATACAGTAGACTTCAATTCTTGAAATGTGTGTGATAGGTACACATAAGTTGCTTCCTTCTAAAGAAATCTTAGGGAAGTAGAAGGTTGCTTTTTATAGTCATGAAACATTAACCATGAAAACAGTTCCAAGCCTGGTTATCCTTGTTAGCCTACTTTAGCTGCAATCTCAAAACTCTTAATAGGAAGCAAATCTTTTGGAGCAAAGTAGGGCCTAACATTCAGGATAAACATGTATGGAAAATGTTCAGCTCCATAGGGAGGAGAAATTAAATTACAGATCTCTGCACAAAATACTGAAAGTAGCTTCCCAATCTGGTGCATTCCAACTGTGTTGGATGTCAACTCCTATCAATCCCAGCCAGCATGGCCAGTTGTTCAGAGTGCTAGGAATCGTAGTTCAAAACATCTTGAGAGCACCAGACTGGGGCAGGCTGAGACAACCTTTGGCTTGGATGCTGCCCAACATTCCAAAAACAAAATGGAAGGCAGAGAAGAGGGAAGCATCCCATCCGTGCACCAGACAACGTGAGAGCTATGTAGTCCTCTGCCATTGGGTGTGTCACTTCAGGGCAGCTGCAGCGATGAAGACGTCTGCAGAGGAAGCCTGTGGTCAGCTGGCCAGCCAGCAGCTGCTGTGGTCAGGCTGGAGACCCATCCTTAAGGAAAGCAAAAAAAAAAAAAAAAAAAAAAAAAATCCCAGTCCCGTTCACCTAACCCTCTTCACCTCATTTCTGTTGCCTAGCAGCAAGTGTATACATTTACTCAGCATTTCTAACCTCCACCCCAGCCCCTAAATAGGCTGCATTAACATGGGGTGGGGGAGAGGAAAAAGCAGCAGCGAAGGGTCAGGAACGTGCTTGAACCATGGCACCCTGGGGTGGGGTCTGCCCTCTCTGCCATACTGCCCAGGCCTCTGCGCCACTCAGATTGCTGACAGCAACTTCACAGAAGTGATGAACAGCTGTGCACCAGGGACTGTGCCACCATTTCTTTTTTTAAATCACCAGCGGAGGTGGGGGCAAAAGATAATCTCTCTGCCAAAAATAGCAGACACAACTGCCGTGCTGCAGAACTCAAGGGGTTCCAGCAGCAACCTGTTTCCCAGAGCTCCTTGAGCGGTGCAGTTTTTCAGATGCAAACTTGGAACAATAATTCAGTATACTGCAGGTGCAAAGAACTGTGTGCACCAGGAAGTGTGAAAGGAAATGTGCCTCTGAGTTACTGGAAGCAGTCTCGCGGAGCCAATACTTTAGTAGGAAGTCACAGCTAAATGCCTCCTCCTGAGAATTAGGCCTTTCCCAGCCAAATCCATTCCTAACTCACATAGAGATCCTTGTTACATGGGGCTTTTGTTATATGCACGCAGCTACATGGGCTTACAAGATTAAAAATTAAAACACACGCACCAGTAACATGGCATATTTAATGGCTCATCTCTCTGGCATTGACTCTGGAAGATGCCAGATAGATACTCCAAAACCCCCAAACAATTAAAGCTAACCAAGAATTTTTCTTATTACATTTCTTTCTCACCCAGGATGGTTCCTCATCTGTCCAAACCATTTTAGCTTCTGAAAAGTATTGCATTACGACTCCTCAGATTATACCCTGAAATCTTGTTCTGGATCACTAAAGACATCTCTTCCATTGTTGGGATCAGCATGGAAGGAATGGGAATGTCACTTTGAAAACATAGGGTTGCTCTCTTAATGGCATCATATAATATCACGATAACTAAGGGTAGTTTGATCCTGACCTGTTTTAACGAAACATATTTCAAGCAAGCCACAGTTCCTCGGGCCTGGACATCACACAGTGCTGTGGTTTTAAAAGTGTGTATATGTGCTTCAAGAGAGGAGGCACATGAGCCTGAGGTTCACTGTAGCTCATTCAGAGTGTGAACTACAAGCAAATCTTAACTGTTTTAACAGTTATGGCTGTTTTAAGAGTTATGTAAATAAGCTTGGAGATGAGAACTTGATACTTGGACAAGTTTTGAATTGCTGGGAGAAATATCAAAGGAGAATTAGCTCTGCGGTATCATTCTAGCTTCTATTTTTACGAGAAAGATTTTCAGATCAGGCAAGAATGATATTTGTATACATTAGAAAAACTCAAGTCAAGAGATATTTGGCTTTGAGATATTTATAAGAATGCAATAATACTTTTATACTTATTCCCCCTTATATATGTGCTGAGAGTACTTCTCTGAAGTCTCCTTATATTGTATGTGATCTATTAAGAGGAATTTCCGTTCTCAAAACATGTGCATAAGGTACAGAAAAAAAGATACCTCATCTGAATACTCCAACTGAGTGAGCCAACTGCAGTGTCTGACAGTGTTAAGTTCATACTAATGCATATCATATCGAATCCATTTTTTGGGTTCAGTTTTACTATAGGACTTTGAACAGATACAGACGATGAGTTTCTAGATGAGAAGATACAACAAGTAAACTCTTCCTCCATCTTCACTCATCATAAACAAAAAACTGTCGGGGGGGGGGGGGCGGTTTAAGGCACAAACTTTGATATGCCCTTCTAGGCAATCTGGTGCATCAGATCGAGCATTAATAAACTTCCAGAAACCATATGCCAACTGGTGTCATTGCACAAATAGAAAACATATTTCAGTTTGCTGCCAAGAAATATGAGACTGAATTACTAAATACAGTATAAACAAATGTTATCCTGGAATAGCCAAAGGGGGTCAGGCACAAATCCCAAAGGCAAAAGGACACTGTTGACATGAGAGTTCTTCTTCCTTTTAGTTCTTGCATCCTGGTCCTATGCATGTTCACTCTGAAATAAATCCTGTTGAGTTTAGTAGAACTAACTTTCAAATAAGTGAGTACAGAATACCAACACAAAACTGCAATCTTTACGTGCTTGCCTCAGTGCAGGCATTTTAAATTCAAATCCAACAGCTACATTTGTTTTATTCTAGAACAGGTACCATCTAGAACTTAAAGGTCACTATACCCTCTATGCATTGAGGGTGGACTGTACCTACATTAGAAAAATATTGAGGAAAATATAGCTGCTAGAGATTGATTTAGAGTAATCTGTTTTGGCCCTAAGCTCTAGAGGACTCAGTGCAATTTAGTTCTAAACTGATGTGAGATTCTGCTGTGATTCTTTTTTAGTACGGTTGAGAAGAAAAGCACTTTTATGAAGTGGTGTGGCCATCTGTAACTCTGCATAGAATGCAATCTTAGGCATGTTTACTCAGGAGTAAGATATAGGAATTTTAATGGAACATACATCTAGGTAACATAGCTTTCATAGAAAGAGAGATGGAGTTAGTTCCCACCCTGCCTCTCAAGAGTGACTAGTTTATTGTGTTCCCTAAGGAAACTGATTAATGTATTGGGCAAAACACAATATCATCAGTTGGGAATACTCCCAAGCCTATGAAAAACATCCTCCATAATTGTTCAAAGAACTTGCCTTTCTTAAAGTCATGTAAAGGAAGCAACAGATTTGTTTTGAATAATGTGACTCAATATAAAAACCAAACATTAGATCATATTTAAATGTCCAGAAATGTGCAACACAGGCATAATGGGAAAAGTCCCTAGCCAGAATATAATTGTTAATGACGTACATCTTAAGACTTTTGAAAGTCCAAAGTGATGTCAAGTTACAATGCTGACCCCAAACTGCTGAAACAGGTTTGAGAACAGGCCCTTGGGAGTATTCACAGCCTTCGTCAAAGAGAGGCCCTTCAAGTGATAGGTCATGTGGGTACTTGCTGCCAAGTGGAGCAAAGCCCATGAGAAGGTACTGCCTGTTCATATGACACTTTCCACCACGGGATTCCCCTAGGAAGAGACTGGGAACAAGCCTTGGGCCTGCATGTTCCCTCATCATGGAGAAAGGAAAGCACGTAAATGAGAATATCTTGTGGCTATTTGAATGCAAGATTTCACCTGACCCTGCAGATTTCAACCCTCATAAGAAAGACGCACCCTTCCCCAGTCAGGGAAGAGTCCATACTTGAAAAACCATGGGCTCTCCCGGTTCAGGTATTTGAGAGCCAACAGCATAATAAGGCATTCTAAAAATGTAGTAATACCTGGCGCATAAGTTCTTCCTGGCGCATGCGAATCCTTTCTCTTTCCATCTGGATCCTCTGAAGTCGCAGCTTCTGCTGCTGCTGTTGCTGGGAAGTCAGTGCATTCGGCATGCTCATTAAGCCAGCTTGAGGGTTAGGGGTAGGGTGGCTTTGCTGAGATAAAGTTGTACTGGGCGTCATCTGTGGCTGATGCTGATGATTCATTACTATAGAAGGAACATAAATGTAAAACTATTAGGTTACAGCTGCATTCATCTATTCTTATTTCTTTATTTACCCATTTGATTTCTTAGTAGGCCTATAATGACTGTTCTCAGAGGGAAAAATAAGAATGTAAAAGTTGCTACACAAACAGCATCAAATGGAATCCACAAATCCACAGACATATATTTTTAAATCCTAGCACAACAATAAAACAGTGCATTTCAAACCAGCAGAAGCTAAGATCATAAACAAGCAACAAATATGACAGGGGCTGTAAATGTTCTCAGAGCTAAACACCACCTTAAAAATACCGCACACCTTAACATGGTGAGGAGTTGAGAGTATCAAAGGAGCCATGAGCCCACAGTGCTAGGAGGCCAATGCTCTCACTAGGCTGGCCTCCTAGCAGGGTCACCCAAGGCAGAATATTCAAAGCTGAGACACCAGACTAAGGCACATCCACCCTCTGAACAGTCACAGTAGAAGACAATTGTTATCTTGAGTGGTGGTGCAATCTACAAAGCTCCTGAAGGGCACCAACTGGGCAGCAGCAATCGCTGAAGCTGACAATGGTGCAGGATCTTTCATAGACATGGGCAGCGATGCTCAAGTTAACTCTGGATAATACAGTATAGAGACCCAGATTAGGAATTCAAGAAGACAAACAAATGAATAAACCACCTGACCAGGATAAAATAAAGAGAAGGAAGTAACAAGATATTGAAGAACTATACAGAAAAAAGGATGAGAAGCTTTTTTCAAAGAGGAATCCTATGAGAAAGAACCTGCAATATTAGAACGTGAAGCAAAGGCTGTTCTGAAAGCACTCGGAAGGAATAAAGTATCAGGAGTAGACAGGGCGGCAGCAGAACTATTCCAAGCAGAAAAGACTGAATCTGTCCAAATTCTAACAAAAGTAAGCCAACAAATAAGGAAAACAAGGGTCCACAAATTGTAGGTATATACATTCCAATCATTAAGAAAGGAAATCCTAAGAAGTGCCACAATTACAGGACCATTGAACTAATTTTTCATGCAAGCAAAATGATGCTCAAAGTTTTGCAAGAAAGGATTTTCCCCTATATGAAGCAAGAAATTCTTGACATTCAAGCTAGATTTTGAAAGGAAGAGGTACTTGAGATCACATCGCAAATATACATTGGCTACAGGAGTGCACTAAAGAAGTTCAGAAGATCATGGAGTACAGCAAAGCTTTTGACTGTATGGATAATGAGATGTTATGGATGTTTTTGAAATAAATTGGTGTGCCTCAGCACTGATTATCCTGGTGGGTAACATGTAAGAAAATCAATGTGTTTGAAACATGGTGCTAGAGGAGAGCTCTGTAAATACCCTGAGCTGATAAACAAACAAGTAGTTCCTGAATCAAGTCAAGCTAGAACGTTCCCTAGGACCAAAATTATGGACCTGGACTTGTACTTTGGGAAGATCATGAGAAAGTAACACTCGCTGGAGAAGAGAATAATGCCAGAAAAAAATTGAAGGGAGAAGAAGCAGAAGTAGAAGAACTGGAAGACCAACTATAAAATGGATTGATTCCACAGAAGAAGTCAAAACCTTAAGTGTGTGTTGGCTGAACAGGACTTTCAAGGACAGGACATTTCGGAGGGCATTCATTCCTAGGGTCATTGTTAGTGGCAGATGATGGCATGTAGCAACAACACAATATATACCACAATTCAAATATTCAAGGCTTCTGAAAGATTGTGAAAATTGGGCAGGGGGTGCGGTGTGCCCAGCACAGAAAAGACAAAGTGCTGTAGTGGTAAAACTGTTGCACTGGAACTCAGGAGGCTCTGGGTCAAGTCTCCACTTGGCCATGAAGTTGATAGGGTGGCTTTAAGCCAGTCACTGCCTCTCGACTTAAACTACTCAACAGGGTTGTTGTGAGAAGGAAAGGAACATGAGAAGGAGGATTGCATAAGCTTCCCTGAGCTCCTTGCAGGAGGAAAAGGGTAGGATACACTCAGTTCATCCATCCATCCATTCTAGGACGAGTCAGGTGGATTTCTCAGTGGGGGTATTATATAAGGGGGGAGTGGAGCATTATGAAAAGATCCTGTGTGGACCCATAAAATTTAAGCATGAGAAGACACTCAGTGCAGGGCCTCTGTTGATAATCTCCAGCTACTGATAACAACAAGGGAAAAGGGCATTCTGCAGGTACCTTGGTTGCAAAATGTTAAGCGATTACTGGTTAGAACAGCATTTTAAATTAGTCCTGGAAATGGATCAGGAAACAGATCATCACTAAAGAATGAGCATATCATACCAGTGCCATGTGATCTAACACATGATTTGTATCAGAGTCCTTGCTGTTTTATTTTATACTAGCTGGATTTTCTGCACTGTCTTCAAAGGCAGCTCCATCTAGAACACACGATCAACAGGCAAGGCTATCTCTTCAATTTTTTCTGTATGCTTGGCAACATATATAAAGGAGTTCACCTTTCTCCATCCTCTGAAACCTGAACATTTTGCAAGCAGGGGCAGATATGTACTTTGCATAAATAATTTGTTTAAAAAATTACTATGTTATAGAAGTTTTCTCACAGTTGCCAATCTGAATCAAGGTAAATATTCTCTCAAACGATGGTGTTGATTTTTTAAATTCAGAATTAATAGACAGCATCCTGTGGTGACATCCCACAAGCAGCCAGTGCTGCTGATTTCATTGTGCAAGTGGCACCTGGAGCACTTACAGGGGCAACCCAAAATGAGCAGGACCACTCATTTCTGGAATGGTGCAGGCTCCATTCTAGAAATGGTCTTTCCTGCTCTTTTCAGGGCTCACCCCTGGCAGTGCTCAAACTCTGTTACATATTGGCTTTAGCAGGGCTGACCTCTTATGGAATGGAAGTGTTGGTGGGCTTACTCACAGATGAATGCATTGGATACCACCCAAGGTTTTGGTTCATCTTCATGAAGCTCTGTCAGATCATCTGCCTATGAAAAGGGATTGTGATCCTGATATTAACTACTTTGTGACATATTAAATCAATCAGCTGTGTACATGGAGCTCTATTGCTTACAAAAATTTAGAAATGGTAGTAGTTCCCTTCCACACAACACGCATACACACATAACTTTGCACATGGTTTTAAAAGCTGTTTGGCTTGTATAAATAAACATACTGTTAGGATTCTTGCTACAAACCATGGAGAAAGTCAAAACTTTTTGATCTGCACCATACAAAGTATTTTATAAGTTACTGAAGGTTTCTGAAAGATACTTTGGAAAATTGGAAGAATGTTACAGTTGCCACATATGTTAAGTAATTCACTCTTTCAGTTGAAAGACTTCAGTTGAAAGACTGGCTGCCAAAGCATGAGTCAAAAAATCTATTATTAAGTCCGGGAACTCATAGCATACTTTAAAAGAAATTGAACCTATATTGCTCACAAACCTCAGCATTCCAATTCTTCTAAGGTCTCTCCCTCAGCAGTTCACTGTCTGTGCCTGGATAACCTATACTACAACAGCCTGGCTCAAACCTAATCTTAACCCACAGTGTGGGTTGTTGAATGCTGGGTTGTCATTATGTGTCAATGTGACTTCATTAAGAAATCATGGCATGTTAACCACAAAAATTCCAGAAAAGAAACCCCATGGCTTTTGTTGAGTTGTGAAATCTAGAGTTGCTTAAATCTTGGGTTGTCATTACATGTGACCCAACACCTCTGGATTGTTCATGAGTTTTGTGAGGCTACAGAGGTGGAAGGCAAGAGTGGCAAAAACAAAACAAATGCCATGTTACATGCCAGTAATGCTGTGCCATGAAGGCATTTGGGATCCAGAGACGATGGCTGAAAGAGGAGAGGACAGCAAGCAACCCAAAGAGTGAAAAAAACAAACCATGGTTTGTTCTACTGTCTGCCAAACAAATTACATGTCAAGCAACAAGGAATGGGTTAAATAAATGATGGGTTAGCATAATGTACAAACCCAGAATGCTGAGAAATCAGATAATAGGTCTGAGGGGCCCTTCAGAAAAGTATCTTTTTCCTGAATTGGTAGACATTTGATGATGGTCTTACCTAGTGGGTGAGAGCAGCAGCAAGGAGTGAGGTCTGTTATTTATTTCGAGAAACAGACAACTAGGAGACACCATTTAAATTGCTCACAATATCCAAGAGGCGCACCATGTTTTTGGCACCACGGGAAAGTGGTGGCGTACAGGCACCGTTACAGGGATGCCCAGGGCAGGCGACAGCTGGGACTGCCAAGGTGGGACCAGGCCTCTTGAAGTAAAAGCAACTCATGGTGTCGAGGGAGGCAGGAAAGGCAGGAAGAACAGAGGTCAGGTTGCAATTTAAAACTGCACTGAAGAAAACCTGACAGCCTTTCAGTCTTTTTATTTAAACACTTATGGTTCACATAGCAAAGCAGGTAAAACAATAATAAATTCAGAGAGAGAAAGTTACTCTAAATCTGCAGGGTATATACAAATTAACCAAAAAAGTGGTGAAAGGATGAAAATCACACAAGCTTCATAGCTGGCTGTTGCCAATGTTTCCCTAAGAACTCTGCTATATCCTTTGAACAAAGGATGCCTCTTCTAACCCACCCCCAAAACGGCCTCTGCTTGTTTGGCTTCCATTTGCACTCAGTGGAAATCTGGCTATCTGTGATTATAGAATGGGAATTACATGAATAGCTGAATGCTGTATTTTATACACTGCCGGGATAGTATTCCAACTGATTTTCAGCAAATGTATTAAATTTCATACAGATGGAAGGGGCAATGAGAACAGTTTCTATACTGGTCAGTCCTGATTCTGCAACATAGTAATGGGTGTCCAAATGTACGGAAGGTGCCAGGGGGCAAGGCATACACTTTATTGCTACAAGAACAGCCTTACAATGACAATGGCTACATTTTCTCGCAACCAACAGATGAGAATCCACGCTACAAAATGGCCCAGTTACACTTTGCAAGGCTCTAGGCTGCATTCTTTACAATGCATTTACCCTCGGTCGA